CACAGCTGGGTGAGATGGGTACGGTGATCGTGAAGTTCATGTGTCAAGTTGGCTAAGCCATTCCACTCAGATTCTTGGCCAAACGCCAATATCACTCATGCTGAGGGTATTTTTTTTTAATGAGATTAATATTTAAATCAGTAGCTAAAGCAGATTCCCTGCTGTAAGTGGGTGGGCCTCATTCAATCAGTGAAGGGCTTAGACTTGGGAAGAACAGACCCTCTCCCCAACCTTCCGGGAAGAGGGGTCCGAATCCAGATGGCCTCCAGATCCAACTACAGCATCAGTCTTTTTGCTAGCCCCAGCCAGCCCTATAGCCAGCTCTATAAACCATGGATTTCCCGGCTCCTACCATCCCGCAAGCCAGTTCCTTATGATGATTAACACTCCTCTGTCTCCTCTCCAAGTGCGCACATAGATCCCCTGACTTATACAGGTATTGAAGAGATCAGTCCAATGGTACTTATAATTAAAATGGACTTGGGTGGGAGCCAGATACTACTGTATTGCCAATTTATAGAAAGTAGTCTCTTATCTCTCCTTCCCCACTCTCTTCCTGACGATCCCACTGTGTGGTCCTGCTCGCCTATAGTTAGCTATGTAGACCAGGCTAGCATTGAACTTGGGACTATCCTCCTGTCTTTGACCTCCCAAGTGCTTAGATTAAAAGGCTTGGCTTAGAATTAGACTTTTGAATATCTTTAACATAATAAATAGTACAATTAACTCCATACTGTGAAATTCTCCTCTGCTCTGCTACCTGGCCCCTCCAAACCTCTCACACTAAGCTCTGAGGGTGCAGCCTACACCCCCTCATTCCTATAGCAGCCTGAATATCTATCTTCCCATACCTGGAGTGTGGTGGTCTGATTCTGTCTCAAATTGTCACCTTTCCTCCTTTCTGCCTTATCCAATCCTTTCCTCTTTTTAGTTGAGTACTGTAATGCTCTCCTAACTCACCTCCATTTCATCCTGAAGAGTTCTAATCGATTCTCATCTGTGCTGATTTCCAGACCTTTCTGAAATGCTTTAATCCTGTCCCTCTCCTCTGTTTAAATAGCAGCCCAGTAAACCCTGAGAGCTTTAGCATTCTGGACTCAAATGAGTTAGCTGTGTAGATGAATTTCTAAGCAGTCTTAAATAAAGAACACGGAGCCAAATATAGGGGTGAAAGCCGTAGAGATCAAGAAAATAGTAAGAGCCACCAACCACCTTACCTCACTAGCTCTGTAGCTTCCAAAATGCAAGCTACTTCCTGTCTAACCTGCACCTTTATTGCCTTGCTGTTCTGCCCTCTCATTGGCTCTTAGCCCAGCTACCTCACTTCCTTGTCACTGCCTGTCTGTACAGACCTCCAGGTCTCTATGGTTGGTACTGGGATTAAAGGCGTGTGTTACCATGCTTGACTGTGTTCCCTAGTGTGTCCTTGAACCCACAGAGACTCTGCCTGCCAAGTGATCGGATTAAGGGCGTGTGCTACCACTGCCTGACTTTGTGTTAATGTCTTGCTATTTCCTTTGATCTCCAGGCAAACTTTATTAACATACAAATAAAATACCACCACATAGCTGATCCATCCTCAGTGTCATCACCAGGTACTCTGTGCATGTACACACACCCTGTCACTGGGGATTGAACCTAGGTATTCAAGTATGCTTGGCACCACTGAGCTATATCCCCAGCCTCACTTTTTATTTTGAAACAGGGTTTTACTAAGTTTCCCAGGCTGGTTTTGAATTCAGTATAATTCAGGCAGGCTCCTGCCTCAGGCTCCTGAGTAGCTGAGATTTACCTAACAACCACTGGTTTACTTTCTTAACTTTTAAGAAATAGGATCTCACTGTGTCGCCAAAACTGACTCCAGTTTCTTGGGCTCAAGTGATTCTCCCTTTCAGCCTCCTGAGTAGTTGAGACCACAGCACACACCACAGCACCCAGCTTCTTTTCACTCCAATATGTGGCCATACTGAAGCACTTAGATTCTCCTGAAGACAGTCCAATGTTGTGGGCATGGCCCTCCCCGTCTCCTCCTTCCCCTTGTCCAGCCTTCCCTTCTGTTCTGTCTCCAAATACAATTCATGGTCAGATCCTCTGGCACCCTAGGACTCAAGGTCCCCAGACCATCAACAACCAGCGTTGCCTGGGAACTGGACAGAAATGTGGAATGGCAAACCCACTGTGGACCTACTGACCCATAATCTGCATCTGAATTCAGTCACCACGGGGTTTGTGCACACATTAACATCTGAGGATCTGTTCTCCAGTGCAGAGGCAGTGAGGGAGTGACAGAAAGAATGCATCAAGTAAAAGAAATCAGTTGTTTGGAAAAGGAATACATTAGCCACTGAAGTTGCATGGTGTGTTGGAATTTGGAGGACCTCGAGAATCCAGGCAGGCTGAGAGTGGAGGAGAAGTGAGTGGTGTTAAAAGTGGTCTATGCCCCTAAGTTTTACAACATTTAGGTCACTACTACTTACTGGAAAGAAAAAAAAATCAAGAGGAAAGAGTAACAAATGGAAGAGAAGACAGAACTTGAGAGATGTGTGTGTAATGTTTAAAAAGAAAGGAAATGAGCACGAGAAACAAATTTGCCCAATTGAATTCCAAAAATATTTGTTAGTGCATTCTAGGTAAATGTGCACAAGAATGCCTCATACTGTTAAATACCCTACGTTGCACTTTTTACAAATACTGTAAATTAAGCCCTCAAGTTTGTAAGCAGAGAAATACATCCAATAGCACAAACATCCCATCTCTAACTCTGAAATATGCCAGCATGGAGGCACATGCTATAATTATATCACTCTGAGGTGAAGGCAGGGGAATCAGGAGTTCAAAGTCATCCTCAACTCTATAGTGAGTTTGAGGCTAGCCTGGGAGATATGGCAGACCCTCAGCCTCTCTAGAACAGTAATGATTACCAGCATTCACCATTGCCCGAGTGGGAGGCGGCGTATGGATGCTTTTCACATGCTGTATTCATTATTGGCTTTTGAATATGTAACAACAATTGCTTGGAGTTACGACCATGAAGAGGGGTTATGCAAAAGAAGGTGGAAGTTTTTCTCAAATAACCGCAACTCTGAGAGCCTCCCAAAACACAGATGAGGATAAGGAATTGCTAATGTATTCTGAAATGTTAAGAGAAAGCCTGCCTGATGCAAAGTTTATTTTGAATGGTACAGTACTTTTAATTTTTTTTAAGAAGGGATGTAGCTGTGCTCCCTGGGGAGGAGTTAAACCCACATCTGGTGGCACACCATTTGTCAGGGTTTCCTGTGTGCCACACAACCTGAGTCAACCTGTGTAGAGACAGCAGACAAACCCACCTTGAGAAAACGTCCTGAGTTTTCCTACCGCCTTCGAAGACAGGGGTGTCACAAAAGATGAAGACTGAGACACAGACGCAAAGACACTTAGCAGATGACTAACTGTGATGCTTGACCCTAGCATAAGTCTTGGCTCAGTCAAATTTGATTAGGAATTGTAGACCTAAATCTTCCAACTGTAACCATGGTGATATGGGAGAACATCTTTGTTCTTAGGGAATCTACCCTGAAGCATCTAGAAATAAAATGGCATTGTGTCTGCAATTGCCTCCAGATAGCGCACGGAGTGGGGAGTGTACACCTAGATGTTCAGAGTGAGGGAGAAAATACATCAAAGCAAGTAAAATGAATTGATGGGTCTGGGAGAAGAGTGCAGAAGGAGGTCTTTGAGCTAGCTGTGCTTGCAAGATTTCCTCTGTAAATTTTAAACCATTTAAAAGTGAAAACAAAAAACAAAAAAAAACTTTTAAACAAAAATTGTAATGCAAAACATAAAAGCTTCGTTTAGATTTAGTGGGTGATGGGCGGCATTTGGAACTAACGTGTGATCATACTCAACGTGAGTCCAGCGCTCCTTTACACAGACGTCAGTCATTACCTCAATCATTGCCTTCCCAGAGGTCAGCCCATGAGGAAGTTAGCACCTTCCCAGAGAACAATTCAGCTCCCTCACAGAAAGCTTCAAAGGGTGATGGCGGATGAGCGGGCTCTCTGGCCACAGGGTAAGTTCTGTGCTACTGCATTCCAAAGGCTCTTCAAGGAAGCAAGATGGCACTCCGTGTACAAAACAGGCATCGGAATGGGTGTGAGCTATTCTGTTTTCCTTTCTATCATAGAAGCTTTCTGTCAAACTCAGTATTAAACACTGGACACTGACAAAGAGCACTGTGCTGGGGGATCATGCAGAAGGCCGAGAGAAGACTAGTTTGTACACAGACCTCTGAAAATGACAGTGGGATGTATGCTTACACATCCTGTACTTGATTGTTCATGCTCCAGATTCTTCAGGAAAGTTCCTGCTGGGTCCCCATCTTATTTATTCTTTGTTTTTTGTTTTGTTTTGTTTTTTCGAGACAGGGTTTCTCTGTGTAGCTTTGCGCCTCTCCTGGAACTCACTTGGTAGCCCAGGCTGGCCTCGAACTCACAGAGATCCGCCTGACTCTGCCTCCCGAGTGCTGGGATTAAAGGCGTGCGCCACCACCGCCCGGCCTTATTTATTCTTAAAAGCATGTAAGGAGAGCCGGGGGCGCGCCCCCCCCCCCCCCCCCCCCCCCCCGCATGCCTTTAATCCCAGAAAGTCAGGAGAGTGAGCTGATAGAGTCTTAATGTACTGAGCATGCGCAGGGTTTTCAGAAATGTTACAGGTCTGCCTCCATCCTGCAGGCTGTTTTCCCAGCTTGTGGAAATTAGGGGCCTGACCATCCTCTCTAGGTCAAGCCATGTGGTGGATAAACATTTCTAGTTATGGGACCACACACCCTCCTGTTTTCTTACACTGTGAGACTCATACCCAGCTCCCCAACGTAGTGTATACTTACAGGGGAACTCTAATCTAGATTACAGGCTGGTTTGATAGGTTCAAGGGTACTGTGAAACTATTAGAGTCAAATGACTCTCTAGTCTATGACAGCATGACTTGTCTAGGGATGGTTCAGAAAAATGGCAGCTTACCTTCTCTTCCTTCCTTGGCAGCTTGGGCAGCTTGATGGGCAGAACGGGCCTTGGTGATTTACTCTCTTGAACAAGAAGAGCCCTTTTGGAGTGTCTCTGTTCGGAGTCTTCGTAATCACTCATATTCCAGGCAAGAAAACCACGACTGTATCCTCTCTGCTTATCCAGGACTGAAGGCCTCGGTTGCCTGCAATAGAACAGGTTAGTTGGGTCATATGGAAAAAGATCTAGAAACAGCGGTCAGTCTTCAGTGGGTGACGTTAGTTTGTTTCTCATGTTTGAGGCCATTTCTACCACAGGGCCAAGGAGATCTGAAAACCTGGCCTGTGTGCCTCCTGTTGAGAAGATTCTGGGTGTTTCCCCCGCTCTGCGTCTCCAGACGTCCAGCTGCTGGACCTTCTAGGACCTTCCCACCCCACAGGCAGCTGACAGAAGTCATGAACACAGCCATCTCCCCATCGCCCCTGGAGCCCAGTCAGAGCCACATGAAGGAGATGCTGCAGGGCAGGAGGAAGCCGAGACCTAGTGAGAACTGCTGGGCGCCTGACTGCTGGTTTTGAGGTTTCTTGGACATCTGGAAAGTGCAGCTCTACAAAGTGCAGCTTTAGATGTTTTAGGAAGAAAATCTCCCAACCACGGTCTTTGGGTCAGGTTTACAGTATCAGCCTTGAGTTCCTCCTGTGGAGTCAGCTTCAATCCAACCAGGAGACAGTTGGTCATCTCCACAAGTCCTACTTCAATGCCAGGGGCACCTCTTGCCTGGCGGGCTGGTAGTGTAGCTTGTAGGGTCTATGGCTGGATGGATGATTGATGGCTCTTCTCCCCCAGCACCCTGCATCTTACCTTCCAGCACTTGAAACCTAGCCCGCAGGGAGGAAGCACTGGCTCCGTTACAGCTTGATTTCTCCGCATCCTGCAACCCGACGACATGGCACCTTCAGAAACAGGGTCTTCTCTAGTTCTGGTGGACAACCAAAGCATTGGCATGTTGGCCTGTGCAGTTTGGGGGACCTCTGGGACCTCCCTAATGAACAACACAGAAGGAGGTGTGCCACATCTTTCCATGGCCTTGGTCTCCATAGTTTTGGCTGAGAAGTCGGTTTTTGAGTCTCTATACATGATGTCACCATCCTTTAGCTGTTTTCCATATTCTGTCTTTGCATTTGCCATTTAAGTTTGACCTGGTGTGTGCAGCTATGGATCTGTTTATCACTCTGAATTCTGTTGAACTTCCCAAATATTTACTGGCTTTAGCAGTGGCAATGCTGTTGCCCAGTGATGATTCTGATGGTATTAAAAGTGCCATATGTGTCCCCTGAAGTTTCTGCTCAGGTAGTTCAGTGGTCAACCAGTGGAGATGGCCAGAGAGTTTGAGAAATGCCTTGACTCATTGGGGCTTCTGGTCTTCTTACATGTTGAGGTCTATGTCCATGTCCCGGCAGGCAGGTTACAATGAAAGCCCTTGTTTACTCTTTGCATAGTGCTTTAAGTGAAAGCCCAGGATGATCTCAGGCCTTGCTGACACTGTCCTTCATAGGCATACAGCCTTCTAGGTTCCTAGAGATGTTCTGACACTTCTCACACATCTTCTATGTACATCCTGTTCTCTGGTTTTTCCCTTTAAGATTTTTAGTCAGCTGCTCTTTGCCCCAACGTCTTACTCTACCAATAGCCATGATATTTGGATAACTGCTGCTGATTTACTTTTGACAAATGCCCACGAAACAGAGATGTTTATATGCAAAATCAGCTCTAATAATTGAGAATTCTTAGAAAGGAGCTTTTCCTGGGATTTCAAAACAGGTTAACTACGACATTTCTCTGTGTATGTGGCTTTCCCAACATCTTCAAACCTGTGTTCCACCTCCAGTGATCGGTAGGTATCTGTTTCTCATGACTCTTGTCTTTTAAGGCAGTTGGTATTCAAGCCTGCCTGGAGGTATGAAGAAAAAGGGTGGGCAGCTCAGCCTCACACATCTTGAGGATCATAGGCACTGGTTATTTGGTGTTTGTTTGTTTTCTTTTTGTCAATGTTCTTTTTGTTGTTGTTGTTTGTTTTCTACAAGCATATTTTTGAAGGTCCTTCCTCCAGCATTTCTAAAGTGTCCCCGACGTTGAGGAAATGGAGACTCATCTAAAGGCGATCTGCTGTCTCCTCTGTGTCCCTCCTCCACACGTTGCCCTTGGCCTTGCGTTCCCCTTGGTGCACCGTGGTGGCTCTTAGCATCACCCTCCTGTCTGCTGGACTGATTCCTCTGCACACTTTCTAGTCTGGTAGCCCAGCCGCACTATGATGATGAGCCTCGTCCTCCTCAGGGAATCTTTGTAGTTTGTGTTTCCAAATCTCTTCTCTCCAGCAGTTCTAACTTCTCGGATGATTTCATTTACATATTTTTTCAAGTCCATTTATTTCTTTGTGTGCACATGTGTGCCATGGTGCTTGGACAGCTTGAAGAAGTCTGTTCCCTTCTTCTTCTTCTTCTATGTGGGTCCCAGAGATCAATCTCAGGTCATAGGCTGGGCAGCAAATAGCTTGCCTGCTGAGCCAGCTCTTCAGCCTCATTTATATTCTTTTGGATTTACTAATTTTTTAAAATTCTTTCTGCCCTGTTAACATTCATTTTTTTCTTTCTAAGATTAAAAATTTTGTGTATATGAGTGTTTTACCTGTACATGTAATGCAGGACCTGCAGAAGCCAGAAGAGAGCATCAGATTTTTTTGGAACTGGAACTACAGATGGTTGTAAGCTATCCTGTGGGATCTGAGAGCCAAACCCAGGTCCTCTGCAAAAGCACCAAGTGCTCTTAACTGCAGAGTCATATTTCTAACCCGAGTTTGTGTGCTCGTGTGCATGTGGGCTTGTCCATGTGTGTGTGTATGTTTGCGCTAGCATGCATGTGTCATGTCATTGGTCTGTCAGTCAAAAGATGACCTTGGGTGCTGTGGAAAATCCCTTTGTACACTGTGCAGATCTGTCACTGTGATTGATTTAATAAACAAACTGAATGGCCAATAGCTGAACAGGATAAAGTTAGGTGGGAGAGTCAAACTGAGAATGATGGGATAAAGAAGTGGAGTGAAAAAGGGCTGAGTCAGAAGGGTCACCAGCCAGATGGAGAACGAGTCAGACATACAGAATGGGATAGAAGTAAAGGCCATGAGCCTTGGGGCAGTACATGAATTAATAGAAATGGGTTAAGTTGTAAGAGCTAGCTAGTATCAAGCCTGAGTTATTGGCCAAGCATTTATAGTTAATATAAACCTCTAAGTGATTATTTGAGAGCGACTGCTGGACAGGGATACTACCATTTACAAATGGTGGCCCAACGAGGGGCAGGAATTTCCACATAAGACCTAAAAAGGCTTGAAAAGGGATTCTAAACACACAAAAATGGAGTCAAGTGCAGCTTCTTTGTACCTGTCTTTTCTCTGATTGGCTCTGTGTGCTGGCAGTGAACAGAGGCATGGCTCCATTAAGAGACAGCTTCCAGACTTGGTGCTAATGAAAAAAATGGGTGGCTCTTTTGAGAGGCTCTGCTGCCAAACTCCTAAACAGTATTTATGGTCAGTGGGAGACATGCTACTTGGTGGCAGCAGGAACCCAACAACTTCCCAGGGTTGGGGCAGTAAACGTGACTCTCATTGGTACCTTCTCCATGAAGCTAGGCTCTCAGAAAGCCAAGCAAGGCAGGGCCAGGGGCCAAAGCCACTACTTTGGTCCTGGCCACACCACTTAGCAGTTTAATGTCTCATAGGATCAAAAAACAATACAAATATACAATAAAGACAGGTTCAGAAGAAAACAAAAACAAAAACAAAAACCTCTAAACAGGTTATACTGTGTTTAAAAAATATGGCATAGGCTTGGGAGAGAGAAGAGAAAGAATATATACAGTCTTAGATTAAAAAATATAGTTTTAAAACAATAAAGTCCTTAGAAAGAAATAGAGTAATAAAGAAATATGTATGAAAAGCCATGTAAAGATGGGAAATAAACAGAGTCTGGATCCTATGTGTTGTGTTGTCTTTAGACTTTTTGACTGTTAATGAACAAATGATAACTGCTAAAAGACACTGGATAATGAAATCTGATAGATTAAACCAACCTATATATTTTTAAAATGTCTTGACTTCAAAATATATGTTCCTTTTTGGGAGAGAGGTTATGCTTTTGTTTCCACAGAAAATGAGAGGCTATGGATTCATTCCAGGTTAAGAAAAATCAGGTTTCATCAAGGAGACACCCCCCCCCCCCCGCCAAAATCTCCAAGGGGAGCAGATGGCCCAGATGATCCAACATCTCAGAGTACCTCTGTTGCAGTTTCCTCTGAGTTCTGCATCCAGAACAGCTTCAAGGCAACTGGCTGAGATGATCCAGCCTCACAGACTATTCCAGTCAGGACTTGACCATAATCCTAAATTTTCTCAGAATCCCCCAAAGATTACCAGTGCCCCCAGTCAACAGGAAGTAGTCTAGAGAACTATGCCCACATTCCCAAAAAATAGGTTATGGATGTTTATTATCATTTAAGGAGGGTTGGTTACAAGTTGTTATTGGTCAATAAAAATTTAAATTCAAATATCCCTTTCTAAAGAAAAAAAGGGGGATATGATATAGGAATGATAGGATAAAAGGGTAGATTATTGAATCTGCTTTAATCCAAAAAACAGCTAGTAATCTCAGAATTCTTTACATGGGTGTGGATTTTGATTTATTGATACAAATTTAAAGCTATTTCTGTTATACTATATTATGTTTCTACTTTAGTTTGGGGTATTGTATTTATGTAACTCATTTAAAAATGTAATGTATAATTAAAAATACAAATTAATAGTCATCTTAATAGTCAAACTTATAGTCATGTTAGGTCTGTTTTCAAGGTCATACACAGATATATTTAGATTGATAGATGGCCTTCAGACACTTCAAAGACCTACAGAATGTGGCATTTAATATGTTTAATAACTTAAGGCTTTTCATGACAGTGAGGCACATCTGCACCTGGCAGCACCAATCTACTTCAGAGAAGATGATGGCACTGAAGAAACTGTGCATGGAGTTTATTCTCTTTGTGGTGAAAGCAATCCATGTGGGCAAAGATACTGCCCTTGCCTCAATTGCTGACAGATACTGTCCAAACTGGACCAGCAGGATGCAAAAGAAGATGACTGCCGAACTTTGCCAA